CCTCGAACCACAAAAAACGGACATAGTCACGGTGGTCCTCACGAATGACGAAACAATAGAACATTTGCTCTATATCTGCTGTGACTGCCACTGGTTCTTTGCGGAAACGCAAGAGGACGCCAAGGAGTGTGTTGTTCATGTCGGGGCCGCTCAACAAGACGTTATTCAATGAGGTGTCTTTATTGGTGGCACTAGAGTCAAACACTACCCGGATTTGCTCGGGTTTGCGAGGATGGTAGACGCCAAATATCGGTAAGTACCAACACTCTTGGTCTTTGTCAAGTTGAGGGGCGGGTTCAGCATGTCCAGAGTCAAACATTCTCTGCATGAAGGTAAAAAAGTGTTCTTTCATATGAGGCTTTTTTTCAAGCATGCGACACAGTGACTTGAGACGTTTGACTGCCTGGTCTCGGTTGTTAGGTAGCCTGGACCTTTTTGGTTTGAAGGGTAGAGGTGCCACCCAGCTGTTGGACTCATTCATAAACATTTGTCCATCCATAATCTCTAAGAACTGTTCATCTTCTAATGACATGGCTGGATTGTCATCTTGAGGAGTGTGCATGAACAAATGCTTACTGAGACTGTCCTTTTCATCAAGGTTGATCAAACTGCTCATATTCAAAGAGCTAGATAGTAAGTCAGTTATGAAGACTTTTTCTTTAACATGGAATGTGTTAGGGCAAGAATCTAAAATGGATGCACGGCCACTGTTTAACACAGAGGTGCGATACACACTAACACTGTTTGGTACGTGAGCACCTCCTAGGCAGACCTCACCTACAATCACCCAGCCAAGATCAAGACGTTGGGCATAAGGGGCGTCATGAGGGCCGTTGTAGTTTTCTCTGACCTTGTGCACTTGTGGGATGTCACGGCCAAGAAGGACCAGTATTGCAGCATTTGGATCTAAAGCGGGTATCTTGCTTCCTAAATGTTTGAGGTGAGTGTGGTGCTTTGCAACCTCTGGTGTCGGAATCTCAGATCGATCATCTGGAAGCATGTCGCATTCGATCAGGGTAGGAAGCTGAACACTGGTTTTGCCATCTAAAGACTCCACAATAAAGCCCTTTGCTTGCCTTGCCTTAGTCTCACCTACACCTGAACAAGTTTTAAGTGTGTAAACTGTTCTGTCTGTGTTTATGTTGAAGATTTCAAAGAATTCGGTCTTTGCCAAGGATCTATTGCTTTGCTCATCTAATACTGCATAGGCCTTGACTGCTTTCTCTTTATGCCCATCAGGATAGATCTTTACCAAACAGATTTTGGAGCAGGAACGTGAAGTGTTACCTTTTCCGCAGATCTCTGTGCATTTGGATATGATGGCTTGAGTGGAGCTCTCTGGTTGCTCCCCGCCATGCTCTTCCAGGGGTTGCTGTGTCTCGAGTTGACATATTCCAAGGAGCTGGACCAGGATGAAGAGCTGTGACATGGTGGTTGCTTTTACACTCATTGCATTGTATGTTTGCGCTACATTCCTTTGCCCTGTGGCTGGCAGAAGAACAGCACCTGTAACAAATGTTCATTTCTTTGAGAATAGCTCTTCTCTCATCTAAAGTTTTGGCTCTAAAACCTCGACACTTGCGAAGGGAGTGTGGTTTGTTATGAAGTGGGCATTCATTGTCAGGGTCGACCCCATTTCCTTCTGGAAAGCCACTACGTTCATCTGGAACAGTTACATCAGTTTTGCAGACGGACACTGCATGTTTAAAGTTTGACTTGTTCGGTCTCTCTGGCTTAGACACATTTAGGCCACCACTAAAGAGTAAGGGGGCAAAACTTGGGTCGTTGAGTGTTTTGGCTTTGTCACACACAAACTTTACAAAGACTGGGAATGGTGGATAGGTAGCATTATATTGCTCTTTGTAGTGGGCTGCTGCAGTGATCCACTTTTCTTGGAGGTGATATGGGAGTTTTTGAACTATCGGAGTAATTCCACGAGATGTGTCAAGGTATTTGAGACCAGGTAAGAACCCATCTAGGCGAGCTGCATTAAGTTCAGTAAGGAGATCACCAAGTTCCCTTAGCTTGTGATTCTCTCTGTTTGAGATTTTAGGAAACTCTTCTAGTTTTGTCAGTAAGGCATTCTCTATTGCTTCAGGGGACCCATAACTGTCCCCCAGTCTTTGCCACAACATTCTGACCCCAGCCGTGGCATCAAATATGTGCACAGCTCGAATGCGTTTTGCCAGTTCTGATGACTCAGGGCCTAACCATTTGCAGAGAAGGTCCAATTCCTCTCTTGGTGTGAGACTGAGTTCTTCAGTGACATTATGAAAAGATGCCTTCCAGGCCCAGTAATGTTCAGGCTTTTCATCAAACATTAGGAGTCCTGAGCTAACCAACTCTCTGCGAATCAGGTATTTGGCTAAGTCTGATGCAGCAGAAGGATCAGATTCGTTAGCACTGAGGACAGGTGATTGCCTGGGCTGGATTTTCATGGGTGACTGTCTGTTATAGGGTAAATGAGATCTTTGGTCATAAGTGACGGGGCCAGGATAGCGTGGTTGAGGTGTTGGTGTTGTATTTCTGAAAGAATAGTCTGCTGCACTGATGGGTTTATATTTTTTGGAGATTGTGCTGTTGGCAACTCTGTGAACTCATATTCACTAATCTCGCTGAATGGTGTGCTGCGTTCTCCTGTTTTGTTCTGTGCAAACTCACCATTGTCTTTTATTTGTTGATGTGCTGGTGGAGCTTGTGTGGAGACTTGAGCATTGTCAGGTTGGTAAACCACTCGTGAATCAGTTACCCAGTGCTGCACGACTTCTTTACTTGGAAAACAGGTGTTGCCAGTTTCATCCTCAGCAGCAGCCTCCAGTACCTCCGCTTCGGCGATGGCCGCTGCAGCTGCACCTTTCAGTCGAAGTGTGTGAAGATTTGCGTTGATTTCTGCTTTCTTTTTAATGGCTTCTGCTTCAATGTGTGCTTGCACTTTAATCATTTCTGCTTCCTTTTCAGCAAACGATGCTTGTGCTCGAGCTGCTTCTGCTTTGGCGCGGGCTTTTGCTGCCAGAACACTTGTATTGGAGCGCTGGCTGGAGCGTGAAGCACTGGAACAGTGTGATCTGGTTTCCCACTCTTTGTCCATGTTGCTTGCCTGTGCTGTAATGTCATCTTGCGACGTGGAGACTAAAGTGCGTTGTCCTGTGTTGTCCGTTGTCTGCCCGTTGAACATGTCTTTTTACTATTCTGCCTCCACTAGCGTTTCGGAACTAGCTTTACAGATAGCGAACAGTATCCTCAATAAGCACCCAGGAAGCCTCTTGCTGTTTTGGATATTTACTGAAGGTTGACTGTAAAACTGTAACATACAAAAAATAAATCCATATTACAATTTTATCTTCACATTTCAACAAACAAATAATAATCAGAGCTATATAAAACAACATAGGGCAACTCAACAATTCAAAATATATACAACAATATCAACAACATCACAAAAAAACATCTATACGACAGCCAATTAGCATCATGCTAACATCAATAGTAATCTCCTTAGAAAGGCTAACGCTACTAGCATATTACATTTTATCAGGGATCTCAAAAATAAAACAATTCAAAGTGCCTCATAGAGTGAGTTAGTATGTTATGGTGTTACAATACTCAGACAGATATTTCTATAGGCCCAAAAACAGTTCACAGGAATAAAAAACTGACAAGAACAGCTAAAACAAAAACACTGGCAGAAGACATTGACAGTTGACACTGGCAGTTGAAAAGCCTAAAACAATATGGCCGCTACGGTAGCTGCAGTAGACAAAACAGATAAAGTCAAAACTATTTATTTATTTATTTTTATCAACTGAGGCAGAACAGTTATTATAAGATTTAAGTCATTGCTGTTTCCTTAAATTGGTCTTGTAGCTGCTGTTAAGTACTAGAGTAGCCAAAGGTGAGAAGCTAAAGCCCCAATTGCAAGTAGCGTCTTATGACTGGATAGTTGGTTTGAAGCAATCCCAGCTCTGATAAATGCTTACTGTGTTCTTGTACAAGACACTGCGAGCTCCTTGCCTGTGTGAATGTGCCGCCTGAGTGAGTTGTGGTTGTGTAGAGTTAAGTGCAGATTGGCAGTCAGTCTGCCCTGGGGCAGCTGTGTCTACAGAAGTAGTTTTACAACCATTGTCTGGAGTAAATGAATGAATGAATTGCCAAACTTTGAGAAGGCTGCCAGATTTAAATGGTTTACCTTAGCTTGTATTTCAAGTTGTCAACATGGTTAACAACCTAAACATGATTTCTTAATAAATGTTATGCACACAACAATATAGAACACAACCCCAAAATTATTTGCTGTACATCAGGTCAGATCAATTGAACACTTATGTAAACGTGTGTTCCATATTGATACTATAGCATGTATTAAGTCTGAGTGAAGCTAACAGTGAGGCCAGCCTTGCTGCACACTCCCTCTGCTGTGACTGTCTCCATTAGCCCCTTCATGATTGTCTGGCCTGACTGCAGATGCGCTGCTGGAGCGGAGAGCCAGTGAGCTGTGGTCCGTCGCCCCTGACACTCGCCTCGGCAGGAAATACTCCGGTTGGACATTTCTTCATGCCACCACCACCCCTCTTTCTCCCCCGCCTCTGCCCGAGACTTCAGTTCTCACAGCAACAACTGCAGTTTCGTTCAGCAGCTAGCAGAACACGGCTCAGTGGAACAGAGCAGTGTTCATAGTAGTGCCATTTCACCTCATTCTCATCAGTGACTCTCCCGCACTTCTGTGTGTTTGTTAGCTCTTTGTGTCAGCAAAGGGACTTGTTTCATCGTGTCTGTGATGTTTACTCATTTGTGAATTTGGGAAGATTTGAGACAGGTGCTGGAAACTAAATTAATGGATAGCTTTTTTAGCGAACCATTTATGGAAATGCATTTATTTGAGAGAAAAACTATGAAACTAACCTGACATACTCCAGCACCTGACCTCCTTTCCCCCTCTTGTTCTCTCCTTGTCTAACAGAGCTTTTGGAACATGTTTGAATATTGTTGTTTTGTGCCCACAGCTCCCAGTATGATGTCCCTGCGCCAACGCCACATTGACCCACAACTGGCCATGGGCTCCCAGAGGTTGGTAGAGAGTAGCGTGTCACCGGGGCAGCAGGGGGAGGGCTCATATGCCAGGCCGAGGGCTATGCTGAGGCAGGCGCGCAGTCAGTCGTTCGGCCAGCTGGACTCTCTGCCTCTGCCCCCCCTCTCCTCTGCCGTGTCTCATCCCTCCATCCCCTCGTCCGCCTTCAACCACCCTGTGTCTTCTCTGTCCTCCTCTGCCTCCTGTCTGCCCAGCGCTGTCTTCCACTCTTCTTTTCAGCCCATGGACCCAATTCCTGATGTGTCTCTGTCTGAGGCCAATCTGCTTTCATCATGCAGCGACAGCCTTGGGTATCCATCTCCCGCTGTGTTCCACTCACGCCGCATGCGCATGGGACTTCTAACCAGCTGCTGTGTCATTACATGTGTCATAGACTATTGGGTACTAGTGTGTGATGGTGATTAGATTTGTAATTTAACATTTGTCGCAATTAATGTTTAAAGGGCCCATATTACACTATTTTCTGATCTGTGTGAAAATGTTGTTTCCTCATCACAAACATACCTGGACTTTGTTTTGTATCATTCACACATGTTTAACACACAAACCCTGCATATTTAGGCAGTGTCCTTTCTTCTCTCAAAAGGAAAACACTCTGTTCCACATTGTGATGTCATGTGGTATTACAGGGAATGCTCCAGTTTTTAAATCCCATACACCTTCACTATAATCATTTTGATCATTTCAAGCTTGGAATTGCCAGTCTGTACTGAACTAAAGGTAAAAGGAGCTGTCAGCTTGAAAATTACCCCTTCATGACATCACAAGATGGAACAGCATTTTGAGCTTTGGAGATGTACACAGACTGCAGGATTCCTCAAACATATGTGAATGAAACAAAATTTAGAATATCAGTAAATTTTGCACAATATGACCATCTAAAAATTTAGATTTCCCTTTTTTTAGAGTGCATATTTTGATAACACCCAATAGAATAAACATTTGATTAACAATAATGTTTTTCAGAATATGTTTGTGGATATGTTAATAGATTTTTTGACTCATTAAGACCCCTTAATGACTGGGTAGTAAGTTGTTTGCAGATGGCATTATATTAATAAATGGTAAGCTCCTTGAGTAGCTAATTGAGATTTACCTTTCAGTCATAGTGTTCAGATTTTAGAAGGTGATTATGTCAGATGGGGGGAAGAGACAGTTTTGGAAAAGAGAGGGGAAAGAGAGTTTTTGCCTATTGATTATATTGTACGAATATTGTCACATTTTTATTCATTTTAGCTGCCCCCCCATCTCTATGAAATATTATTGACTTATAGAAAGTTGTGATGTCATCTGAAGCCCAGAAACTGGACAATAGACTTAAAATAACAAATGTTTGCAGTTTTCTAGCTCTTTTAAATAGATTGGGGTTTTTAACAGTGCTTCTTGTTTCTTTCTTGTGACGTGCTTTCCAGCTGTGTTTGGCTGTCATTAACAAGTGGCTTTAACAGTGTAATGCATAATGTATGTAGCTTTGTAATCTCTTCTAACCAGTGTTTCTTCGTACAGGGACCTAAACCGCTCTGACTCGGACTCCTCCTTGTCCTTATCCCAAGTGGGCGACCGTCTGGCAGCCTATAGCTCCAAAGGCCACATCCTGAAGCCCACTTCTCTGCACTACGGCCTGTCCCGACATGCCGACGACACGGTCTCTCTCCATGGCCTCACTCCCAACGGAGGCGGCCGAGTGACGGACATGGGCCAGGGGGAACCGCTCTCTGACAGCCCCCTCCTCATGAAGAAGATCTATGGAGTGGAGAGCTCCAACAGTGCCGGGGACATCCACACTTACATGTCAGAGTCATCCCGCTCGCTCAGCCCCAACTCCACAGAACCCGACACCCCCTCCCCCATGGGGCAAGGGGGGGTGACGGTGGGGTCAAAGGGCAACACCCGCATCCCCCAGCTCTCCTCAAAGAAGAGCCCGGTGGAGGAGGACAGCTGCTCCACGGGAGACGATACAGAGTCTACCGCCAGTCGCAAGAAACACACCTTCAAAATTTTCAAGAAGCAGAAGAAATAGGGCTCAGTGAACTTGTATTTTGGTTAGTCATTTGGTTTTGGGTCCGGTGCATAGACTGTATATATAAACAGTCTATTGTCTTCAGTCTTCTCTTATACAGTCTATGGTCCGGTGACGGCGCTCTTTCCTTTGTATATTTGTAGGATTGGTACCTACCAGGTTGACTGGCTTTTCCTGGTCATTGTAGAATATGGGCTTTGGTAGTATGTATATTGGATTGTAAAGTATTATTTATTGAGTGGGAAATCAGTGCCACTCAAACTGGTGTGTCCCTGTGGACCTTTACCACTTTGCATGTCCTCTTTGGTTTGTCTCATCTTTGAATGCCTGTTTGCTTGGTTCTTCTTAACCTGCTTAGATTACAGTTGTTACTTGGGTTACAAACCAAGATGAAATGGCTCATTAAGAGTTACGTTGATTGTTGTCTTTAATTTGATTATGCTCAAAGTTGTGAAAAAGACAAAAATGCATTTAATACATGCAACAAATAAACAAAAAAAAAACATTTTGGTTCTAGAGGAATAATTCAGTATTTGGCCACCAGTTCAGATACCACTGGAAATGTGCTCAAATTTGGGCAATGGGCAAGACCCACTGTAAATGTACTATGCTGTTACAGGGTGGAGCCATAGACTCAGGTCTCTGGTATGAGAGAACTCAGTTTTGACAGATAAACCTTGAGTAGATGGTATAGTTTATATTTTCATCAGAAATGAATCACTTTAATCTCCTTGTAGTCCTATGTGAGGACACAGTATTAGTGTAGTTATGCAGGGCAAATCTTTTGTAGGTCCACGTGAACATTTGTTTTTCTACAAATAGTTTGCAGCAAACCTATTTTGTCAGTGACAGGTTCTGCTGGAATGGGCTGTAGTGTATGCTTTAATTCTATCTTTTCAAGTTGAAACTAACCTCGACTTCCTTTTTGGACAAAGACCAGTCATGTGCCAAAGGCCTTCTTCACAGAGGCCCCATTTATGTGTGTGTGTGTGTGTGCGCAGCCCCTCTCCTGCAGCTTCTCTGCTGCAGCGCAACCCGTGCCTCTGTGTCTCTTCTCCCTGCTTCTTCTGTCCCTCTCTCTTATATGTCCCTTTCTGTGTCTCTTGTCCCTTTGTATCTCCTGTCCCTCTGTTTCTTCTGCCCCCGTGTTTCTCGTGTCCCTCTGTGTCTCCTGTCTCTCTGTCTCGTGTCCCTCTGTGTCCTGTCCCTTTATTGACATGAGTACTAGCTTCATCCAAGTGCTCTGTTTATGAATGTGGTCTCTGGGTGAACACAGAAAATATGCAACAATGAAAGTGTCATATGTTTTGTGTGCAAGTTCCTTTTTTCCCCTAATATTTACTAGACCTAATTAGATTTCTTAAACTGTATTTTGACCCCAAAACCAAAGTTTTACTACAACTTTTATGGCTCGTGTTCATTTGTTTTAGTCCCTGGCAAATACTGGGATTCAGTATGAAGCATCAAGACAAAGAACTACTTTTGTGTACTGAAAAGGGCTTGTTTTAAAAGTTCTGTTTTTTAATGTGTTTGTTACTTCAGATAGAAATCGACACAGGTGTCTCAGTACTGCTTTAAACTTACACTGCAGAAACCTTGGAAAAACTTGAAATAAACTAAAAACACATTTTGTTCCTCCAAATTTTCCTTCGTTACGGGTTTTACCTATAACCATGAATTGTGGTATTTGTCAAATCTAAAGTAAAGTCCACATGGTCTGGTAAACCAAATCAAAATGTTCAACTGTTACAATAATGGACTGCAGCACTACTGTTTCTACATTCTAGTTTGTATATTAGTTGCACGAGCGCTGTAAATATGGATGCCATCTAAATCTGTGCGTCTGGAGAATGCACTGTTGTGTTGACGCATGTCATCTGCTGTAATGCCACAAACTATTTATACCCCCCAGACAAGAAAACACTTCTGATGACGAGACATTTAGAACGATCCAAGCAGATCGCACAAGCGGATCCTGCTCCTCTTTTTAACAAAGTCTTCTTTATGATTATTACAGACAGTATATTTGTACTTTTGCATCTCCTGTGATGGCCGAGACTTATGGCACTCTTGCATGAAAGCAATAAACTATTTTAAACTATCCAGCTGGTGTTTATTTTTATTTTTTATTTTTTGGTCAATCTATGCTCGCCCATCGAGATTTGCGCCCCCTTGTGTATTTTTATGGGTAAGACATGCTCCTCATGAAACGCTATTTCATGCTAAAGTTTTACAAATGGACAACTAAAGAACATTTTTACCTTATGACTAATTATAATAATTCCTTCAATATTCGTATCAGATAGACATTTCCAGCTACTCGATTAGTTTAATGTATTGATAATTTACGCCATATTTGAAGGTGACTAAATGCATCAGCTTCTCTTCACCGTTGCTAACTGCAACACATGAGCTATTAGCATTTTGTAAGCTGTAAGCCACTGGGCCTGTAGTTATAATTAATTAATTTAATGCCTCTTTTAAAGCTTTCAGGAGCGTGTGTACAGGTGCTGTCTCCGGCCTGTCCCCTGTTGACTTAAGATCAGAGGTGGAGCAGGATGCAGTCCAGGAGATGAAACGTGCACTGATCATTCACTATACTAACAATACAACTCTAACAGTATGGAGACTGTTTCCCTGGCCATACGTGTGTGGCTTTTTGTATTCTGTATCCAGGTAGGAGCTATTATAAGATTTACTCCTAGTGTCATGAGCTGGTTTAGCTCTACATCACGTGCTATATAAGTTCACAGTTTATGGTTCATGTTGAATTGTTGTAAGGTTTGTTTGTAGTTTACAGGATTTAAGATCTCATTGGCACTGAGAGGACAGAACATGCATTGTCAGCACAGTTCTATGCCAAATATTGTCTTGAGTCTTTCAATCCCCAGAGCAGAAGTAAAAGGCTCCACTCTCTCCTGCTCCTCTGTTGTTAAGCAGGAGTTGACTAGACTATGTAACTTTTTTGATGGAAAGTCTGCTACTTGTGTGTCTCTGTGGGTCATTTTACATAACGAGCTCAAGATCTGGACCAGCACCCACTGCTCCCGAGTCCTAAAATGCAGAAATTTTCCTTCCTGGACAATAAAATGTACATTAACTGTAATGTTCCTCAGTAGGGCATAAAACCTCCCTAATTAATGCATTAACATGTCTCGTTTAATACATGCAAGATGTAAGTTTAATGCCATACATTGGAACAAATATTTTATTACGAATAGTTCAAGCATAGTGACTACTTACTTACATTAGAAGCCTACTTAAGAAGTTGCTTCATTCTTAATAATTTGTTCATTGTGAATTAAGTCTTTTGTCATGCTTTATTAAACCTAATGAAGGTGTTGTTATTACTGTGTTAATATTATAGCCATAGTAGTTTAGTCGTATAGAGTTACCAGTACTTGGAATGTGCTTACAGTAGCTTTACATGCACACCAAGAGTCTGGACAACAGTTACATCTGATTTATATATAGCCTATATGATATTTACTGGAGATGTAAATGTACACAAACACATATAACACTTTTTTAGGTATTTAGTATTGAACTATAAGCTAAGTATTTATCATTTTAAATTCTGTTCATTATAAAACAAAACACAATATTGATCTAAAAACAGCTTTATATTAGAATTAGAACCACTGACTAATGTTCAAAACTGCGGAAATGATAAGCTTCACCTTATCTTAATAGTATTTCATATCAAGCAGAATTTAATTTACATTTCAGTGGCTGCGGTGGCTACAAGTTGATTTTGCATTTTACTATGCCCCCTTTCTGTACTATTTTATCCAGATGTTGTGTGCAGAGAACAGAGTGACTCTCCTAAACCCACCAGAAGAAACTGTTCCGGATCACCTTTTAAAAATCCTCTATTCCTGTGACCAACCAGCCTGGGTTCACCTCCACTGCCTCATATCTTTTGAATCTGGCTCAGTTTTAACTATTGAACTCAGAAGTTGGAGCTGTGAGCCAGGACTCCCCAGAACCCGCTCACTTACCCTGGTCCTTCCTGATTGGCTAGTGTACCGGCCGGATGGGACAGTGATGCTCTCCCAATGGGTGCTCAGCTGCATCCTGCGAGTGTCACTCACATTCACAGGGGAGAGCAGTTTGGTGGTGAAGGACGTGGCGTCGCTGGAGCCAAAGCCCTTATACAGTCGTCCGTTAAAACAGCACAAACTGTGCTTCAGCTGGAGCGCAGACATGCAAAAGTTAGCTCATGGGTTTGATAAAATGGTGTGTCCCATGGAGCAAGGTAAGGAAGAAGATTCAGCTATATGCTGTTTTGAGTATTTGTAATTATTATGTGCAAAATGCTTTACTTTGTACCAACTAAAAAAGACAACAAATGAATCAAGCCGCCATATTTATACTACATATGTTTGTCATAAAATAGTTTACCACTACTTCATTCATTCATGTCTTCTTTTTTTACTTTTGGCACCTTATATTTCTATTTTTTGAGGGCAAATAAAGGGCTTATTTGTGTCAAGGCTAGTAAAGGTTATTCAAGGTTCTGTATTATGCAAATTAGATTCTTGTGAGCTTTTAGCCATGTTATAATGTTGTTACCTCATCAAAAACACACACGTTTGAGTAGTCCTTTATTATTAGTCTGTCTACATCTCCAAAACTTTAAATACCTTTTGTTTAGTAGAGATTGGCAATTCCAGGGCTGAAATATCCAAATGGTGACAGAGTTTAAAAACACATTGGAGCACTTCTTTTATTACCACGACACCACAAAACGAAACAGTGTTTTCCATTTAAGAGAAGAACTCAAATGTGCAGGGTTTGTGTGTTAAACATGTGTGAATGAAATAAAAGACAATGTTTGTGATAAGGAAACAACATGATAACATAGATTAGAAAATACAATATAGGGAAATTCATTTAGTGTGATACTGAAATGTCTAGTTGCTGTGTGGAACCTTTCACTGTTATAATGCTTAGTTGGGTCTACAGAAGATAAGCTTATGTGGAGCCTGTAATTTGTTTTATCACAGGCTTAATGTTGCAATGTGCAGCACTTTGTAAACTCTTTTTATATAAATCGTGCTACAGAAATAAAATTGGACAGAAAATCGAGACAGTACTAACACTGTTCCGCTCAAGCCATTGATTTGAAGATATAGATCCCATGTGACGTAATACATCTCCAACTGTGTGTGTTTTTCTTCAGAGACAGTCACTCTTCTATCCTCGGTGTTTGCCGCCACTGGGGAACACTTTGGCATCACGAAGACACTGCAGCCCTTTAACAATGAGCTCCTGGAGCACCTCAGACTTAAAGCCTTCTCCTTTCCTTGGTATGAGCAGATAAGTCTGATCTGTAGGACTGTGGTTGACAAAAAAAAATCTTAATTGTCTTAAGATCATAGATTGTGTGTATAAATGAACATAGCTAACCCACTAGCCGCCACGTTCTGAACATGTGAACATGAACACTTCCGACTACATCAACTCCAGCTCCAATTCACTTTGTATTGAAAAAATGTGCCCCTTTCATTACCTGCTGCTGTCAGGCACTTCAGTTTGGTCTTAAAATTTTCATATTAACCCACAATTTATGATCCTGGTGTATTTATTTTTGTATTTTCTTTGCTTTATACAGTCTATGCTTGAGACATGCCTTGATAATTAAAATAAAATAATCAAAAGCACTCAAAACTATTATATACCTGACCCAAAACATAATCACAAGACACAACGGCACGGCAGTTAATAGAGAAAAAGCCATTTATACAAAAAAAAGTGCAAGAAAACAATGTATTCATATGAAGACAGATTACACTTTATTCATGAGCTTAATTTGCATTTTTACATATAAATACCTAACAATGCAAAATCTTCAGCTAACTCACTCATTCACTCACTTTTTCTCTCTCTTCTTGTCCCATATAAATGTTTATAATCTAATTTAATTAACTAATTGTTTGACTAACACAAATTTTGGTTAACTTAAGACACCATTGACCGATTACTTGACTAAATGACCTACAGCCCCAATGAGCTCACTCAGTCCTGTTCAGTTTCATTTCATTTCCTTATTTACGTTCTTCACAGGTGTATGTTTTCCTTGTGGCTTTTGGTGACTGAACCGTGCAGCCAGCAGAGACTGTGTGGCGTGCTCCATCACATTGACCGTCATGAGAATTACGTCACTCCTGCGCTCTTCCTCACTTCCTCAGGTAAAACTCAAAATCTCACATTGGGCTTGTATGTTATTGGTATCTATCTATCTGCCTGTCTAAATTTTTGACATTGTAACTTTGTGGTGTCACCTGCTTGTCTACAAAGAAATAATAAGTTTGGTGATGTGTGTCCAGGTCAGCTGCATGTTCAGATGAGTGGATACGGTCAACAGTCCAGTGCCTTTCTCTCCCCCTTTAGAGTCCCCCTGAGACAGTGGTGCCGTATCACAGTGGAGTTACGTGGAACTATGGTTAGCACCTTCTGGATGTTTTCAATAATGTTACTTCTGTCATAGTATAGTATTTTCTGGAGTTTGTATTTGTATTTGAATTGTATGAGACGTTTAACACGCTAACTCTCTTATCTCCAGGTGTATGTGTTCATGGTGTGCTTGGAGAAGGACCAGAGGAGAGTCTATTCTGCTCTGCATTTGTGAGTGGCTGCAGTGATTTATATGGTGTTATATGGTGTTTCCTCAAATGCTTTATGTTTTATGCTGTGTATACTTCTCAGTTTTAATCATAACCTGATGATGGACGACACTGAAGGCTACTTTGTGATTGGAGGAGGCAAGTACATCCGCTCAGTGGAGGGTTTCTTTGGACCACTGCTGTTCTATCGCAACAGGATCCCTGAATATGCCAAGGTACTGTGAGCATGGTGCATACTGTGGGTACTGTTGGTATTGTGGGCACTGTGGATATTGTGGGTACTCTAGTGTCTGAATGCTTTACCTTAAGTGTGTTTCTCTCACAGACTGTAGCAGAACTTCCACAAATGATCCACACACTGAATCTGAGCAGTTGGCTGCAGAGGTGTGAGGACTTTCAGCACCATTTGAGTGTGAAAATCAGTGAATATTTACAGAAGACACAGAGGGCTCACACAGGTATTGTGCATTTTTGGCCTGTAGGTGGAGCTGTTGAACTAAGTGTACATGTGAAGTAAGACCTTTTTTTTCCCCCAGAGAGCTGTATAGATGCTTATGACCAATACATGAAGACTTACAGACAGGCTGGAGGGCCTCAGTGTGAGGACGGGGAGGCTGTGGCTGCAAACAGAAAGTATGCTACAAAAGTGGCCGAGTTCTTAGTCTTTAAAAGAGGTAGGTCAAGTCAGATGTATGCACAGACAATGCACTTTTGCTGTCCACAAGCACAGAGCATACTTGTACATAGTACTGAATGTGCACCTTGCTCTTGTTTTAGGAGGCAGAGTGACTGTGAGGACTGTGGGCCGGGCTCTGTTCCACTTGTCCCTTCAGAAGCTGGGCGTCTCTCTGTCACCCTCTTCTGTTCGGACACAGCTGCCTCGGCTGAAGCAGGCTGGCTGTCTACATGAGCCCACTGCCCTGCACTTGTCTGCTGCCCTCTACTCTTCTGGACTGGGGATTCAGCCAAGCTCAAATAAGGTGGAAAACATGAGCTGACATATTAGAGTGCCCTTAGAATGCCCTTGTTTATGTTTCTTTACAGTCTGACCACATGTGTTGTAGTCCTGGCTCCTGTCCCTGCTCTCAGCTCAGAGGGACCACAGACTGGCTCTTCTGCGGTTGGGCTTCCTCCATCTCTATGGTCTCTCTGGACTGCCCACAGACCCAGACCTGGCCTATGCCTACTACTCCAACATTGCCGAGCAGACTGTGACTGACCGCCTCAGCCCCTCAGCTCAGCAGGTCACTATACCTTTCAAAGAACTAGAGTTGTATAATAAGTCAGGGACAGTAGAGTATTCTCAGCTAACTCTATAAAATATGCATAGATGAAATATTTATATCAAAACCATTTTCATTGTTGGCTTAAAATGAACACGTATGAGTGGATTGAGTGCCAAAGCTATTATTTTTTCATGTAGAAAGGTATGTATTATACCTATATTTTATTAGGGGATGCACTGGTAGGAGCATCACTGATTTAGAAAAAAATCAAACTTGAAATGAGTTTATTTGTTAAACTCTGTGAATTTGCTGTTTCAGGCGATAGTGGAGGCCATTAATCTGACTGACCAGGAAGTGCTGGAGCAGCAGACCGCTGAAGAGCACCACATCTTCCAGTGGCTCAAGTTCCTGGCTCAGAAAGGAGATGCACAGGCTGAGGTGACATTTTACTGCACACCAACATGCACACACATAAATACAATGTTAAAATACTTCAGCAATACTAGAATACATCCAAATGAAGGGGAATCAACAGCAGTTATCAAAACATTTTAAAAGGGTACATTTCTGTGTGAGGGTTTGAAATGTTTATGAATAATTATCAGTTTAAATACTCATTCGATTAGGCTTTATTTACACTAAAACATACTTATGGTGTGTTTAATTAAAACATCAGTCAAAACAATCTTGTGACTTGTGAAAAGGAACACAGATTTTCTGCAGCGCCTAAATAATTAATGGTATCGTCTGAGTGCAGATCTGTATGCAGGGAGTGCTCTCTGTGGTTTTCCATTCTTTCCAAAACTGCAACATAAAGATTAAAAGAAAGTGTGTTATTTATAGTTAAAGAAGTGGCTTGTCCAAGGACACAATGGCAGTGATCAAACTACCAACCTTCAAAAGAGTAAATATGAGTTTATATTGTGTCTTTTAGCAAAGAATGGGGCAGATGCTGTTCTGGGGTCAGCAGGGTGTGGCCAGTGACCCTCAAAAGGCTGTGGGGCACTATCAGAGAGGAGCTGAGCTGCACGAGGACCCTGTGTCTATGTACGACTATGGCATAGTTCTGCTACAGGTCGGTACCCAACTGTTGAACCTAAAATCACTAGTAATATAACAACAAAAAAAACATCACTTTTAGACAACAAAAGGAAAAATCTGAGAAATTAAATTCAAATAAATGTGTTTTGGCCATGAGAAACTTTCTTCAAGGTGTACATAGTTAAAAAGTTGCCAGCTGCTTTTAAATAGACCAGCAACACATGATTAAGTCACATGATACCATTAGGATATAAAGCTATTTAAAAAAAAAGATAAAAGAAGAAAGAAAGATAAAGAAAGAAAAAAAAGATCCTAATGTTGTGATATGGCATAATATAGAACATACCTATGCAGTAATAACAAGATACAAGCTATAGTCATATTTCACACTTATATATGTCCATAGCATCCAGGAGACACAGATAAAATACAAAGAAAAAAGGCACATCATTTAAATTACATTTTATTACACTATTTTCTGATTTATGTTATAATGTTTCCTTATCACAAACATATCTGGACAAACTAGACAAACCCTGCATATTTAGGCTAAGTTCTTCTCTCAAATTCTCTTTGTTCCATCTTGTCATGTCATGTGGTAATACAGGAAGCATTCCACTGTGTTTTTAAACTCCATACACCTTCACTAGAATCATTTGGATAATTTGAGCCCTGTAATTGTCAATTTCTACTGAACAAAAGGTAACTTGAAAACTATCGCTTCATAATACCAAGGTAGAACAGAGCACTTTGAGCATTGGAAAGGGTTAATCAAACATGTGAATAAAACAAACAAAAAAACAACTTCAGGATTTTTGTTGATGAGGTAACAGCATTATAACAGCACAAGAGTCAGTTCTGTGTAAAATATGACCTTTAATAATAAGGTACTTGTGTTTAGTAAAAAGGCACATACTTAATATTAGTTTAAAAAAAACATAACTCTAATTTTTCATAGGGCCAAGGAGTTGAAAAGGACATTCCCAAAGCGGTCTTTTATCTCAAGAAAGCAATGGACAAGGTAATTTTAGCTGGTACAGTATATGCAGTAATTGGTTTTGTGATTCTGCTGTAGTACCTTCTTTATACCTTCCCCAGGGTTCAGTTCCTGCCCTGAGCGCTCTGGGCTGGTACTACGAGCAGTATGAGAAGAACTACGTGAAGGCAGTAGAGCTGTGGGAGCGCGCTGACCTCCTGGGAAGTCCTGATGCCGCTATGAACCTGGGAGTCATGCACTTACAGGGATACTACCCAAACAAACCAGCCAACAAGGTCACATACAAAACATTTTCAGTAGAGAAAAAATGTCAATACCAAAAATGTGTGCACTGGTTATTTGAGTAGGGTTGTTTTTAGTTAAGCAGACTATGCACGTGCAATGGGCCTCATATCCACTCAGGGACCCCCAAAGATGAAGATTTATCTTGATAAGAAAATTAGTTTTTACTGTTAGTTGTAAATTCTTCTTTTTTACTTATTGTGCATAGGCATACAAATTCAGAAATTACACAAAATTTACTCTTGTGAGCTTCAAGCCATGTTATAATTCTGTTACCTTCTCAAAAACATACCTGGAGATGTCTTATATTTCATTCAGACACTGAGTAACCCTTTATTATTAGTCTATCTACATTTCCAAAGCTCAAAATGTTCTATCTTGTGATGTTATGAAGCTGTAGTTTTCAACATAACAGCAACTTATGTACATTCAGTTCAGTAGAGATTGGCAGTTCTACGGCTGAAATCATACAAATGATTCTAATTAAGGCCTATAGAGTTTAAAAACACAGTGGGGCCCTTCCTGTATTACCATATGACATTACATTGTGTGTTAAATGTGTGAATGAAGCAAAACACAACTCCATGTATGTTTTTGATGATAAGGGTACAATATTTAGCCAGTTTCACTTCGTGGAATCAGTCTGACCTCACAGCATTAGGATTCATTCGCTCGACAGTAGGCGGGAACTTTTTTTATTTACCCAATCACTGCTATTTGGTTGTGACGTATGTAATGCACTGGAACGCTCAGTGGTGTCCAAGTAATTGCCGGCACAACAGCAAACAAAGCACAAAGTGAAAATCCTCGATCTCTGGAATCGTTGCCAACACAGAATGTATGTCTTTGTCTACCTCCATCTCGACCACTTTGTTTACTGTTGTGCTGTACCACAAAAGGGACCCAGACAGGTGCTTGAGTTTGACGTCATGGCTTCACAGCTCTTTGCTGATTGGCCGGTGCACGGTCTACAACTTCTGGGGTTCTTGCAAACCGTCTAGTGTATTCCGATTCCTCTCCTAGGCGCTGGAGAGAAATTAAATTGAGCAGAGGCACTAGGTGACACCAGCCTGGCTATACAACATTATAACATAGCTCAGAGTAGCATAATATGGGCCCTTAAATTCTTCCTTGACAATACTGCAAATTGAATCACTCCACAGTAATTTGGCAGCTTTTCCCCCTAAAGCTAGAAACAACCCTGTATTAATATTGTTTGTAAAGTAATAGTCAGAAGGCATCAGAAACAAACTTCATGAATGGAAAACTAGTATACTAAAAAGTGTAAAAAACATATGTTAAATAATCTAGTTTATATTGAGCATTAATTACATTGCTATATGTCATTTATTGATTCCTCTTACAGTTTTTAGCATATCAGTTCTTCCTAAAGGCAGCCAACAGAGGCCACATCAAAGCAGCCAATCTGGTGGCCGAAATCTGGACCACTGGGCTGCCTGCATATGTGGACAGAAAACCGCTTGATGCTGTGAGGTGAGCCTGCAACATTATAAAAAACAAAGTCATTTTTAAAAGTGTACACATAAAAGCACAGTCATTCCCTGTCTGTAGATTGTCAAAATGGGCCGCTGAGCACAATGGATACTTGGGCAGAGTGCTATGGAGAGGACTGGACTCGTATTTGAAGAATGACATGTAAATAATGTTGTAGTAGATACCATAGCTCAAAATATAATGTTTCATCATATAGACTAATAATGTATTTCTTTGTCCAGGCTTCATTCTCTGTTGTTCTATCTGATGGCAGCTGAGTGCGGTTTTGCAGTTGCTCAGTTTAACATGGCGTATTTATGTGAACAGAATACAGTGAGTTTGCACAGAATATTAAATGCCTATATCAACCAGACAACACCAGAGCGCTTATAAGGATGTTTTTTTGTTGTTAACAGGAACACCTTCTGCATCCAGATTTTGCTTCTTCTTGTATGTGGAAATATTATAATCTCACCATCAGGAGTGAAAATCCGCACACTTATGGTTTGTAGTAACACTTGAGCAGTGAACCAGCTCTGAAAGATGTTGACAGGGATCTTTTACTCTACATGATCTGGGCCGACCATGAACTTCAGAGGGTCCTAAGAAAAAATTGTATTTGGAGTCCTGAACTTAAATGCCACATACCCTTATCTACTGGCGATTCACATTCAGTAACATTAAAACCACACTGTCATATCCAAATCCCAGCTGTTCACAACAACTGTACCCTCCCTCAGGATAATTTCTAAACACTAGGCTTTTTTTTTTCATAATTTCTGGTGCATTTTAATATCAAAATGTGATAAGCCTTTGTTAACGCAATGTCAAAATGTGGGAGCAAAGTCCCAGCTAAACCAAAAACTAAATGTGATACGTCCTGACATTAACCTTCACAACCCTCATGATGGCTCACAAGAGGAAAAGCATATGCAGCCAATTTAATAAAGTGGCTCGCAATGCTATATTTGTGTCACTGAGATATGGTTAATGGTCCCACTTCCATGTTTTATCCACCATTAGCCCAATGTATAACTGGTCATAATGAGATCGAGGAGCTTGGAGATAAACCAGATGATTGTTGTTACTGTGTACTGTCTAAATACGCGTGCTTGTGTTTCGTTTCAGCCTTGATAAAGCTCGGAGACATGCTGTACCAAGGCCATGGAGGCACACAGAAGGATGTGAATGCTGCCACTCACATGTACACAGCAGCAGCTCTGAGGAATCAGCCGCAGGTCTGTGCTCTGAGCTCACACCGGTCCTATCTGCACACCTGACACACTGACATCTGACCTGTGCCATATTCTAGGGGCTCTATAACCTCGGGCGCCTGGTGGAGGAGGGCTATACGCTGCCGCTGTCCGTACTCAGTGACCTGGGCCTTTCCAAGCTGTACCAGTCAGACCAGAGTGTGATCTTGAAGGCTTTGTATCAAAAGTGTGTGAAGTGGTAAATGCATTTACACATTTGGGAAACAAAATAGCACATTTATCTCTCTGACTCTCAGGTGCAGAGATTCGGATGACGCAGACTCTTTCTTGCCCTGTAGTCTCATTCTCCTCAGTGTCTACCTACAGGAGCTACATGAGGACTACAGTGCTTCCATAAAGGTACAGGCAAATTTGAAAACTTTTATTTGAAGATATTTTTTTATTGTTTCTTTTCTGGGGTTGTGGTGAACCAAAATCATAATTAATAAGGTTAGGAAATGTTAAATTTATCCAGTGAGGCAAAGACTCATTAGAATAATAATATACTGAATTGGTATAAAAACAAAACACATAGCATTTAACAAAATGCTTATAATATAATAGGTCATATCTCACCTAGCTCAGTACACTGCATATTTCCCAGAACACTATGGGCCAGGATTTGATGATGTAGCCCTTTCACGGATGCGTGACCTGATCCCTTGTGGTTTGAGGGCCCTTTATCCCTGCTTGCAGTTTTAATCCTTTGTTTTCACAGTACTGGAGTGTGTTGGTAGCGACCTTGGCCCCAACACTTTACCTGCTCTTGAGCAGAAATGTGCAGAGACGCAGGACCCCAGCACAGGAGTGAGACCAGAGCCACAGCCAAGTCACGGTGAAGTCTGACACTAAGAACAAACATGGACCTAAATACGTACTGTATTTGCAATGGCAGAAAGTAACAAAATGCTATTGAAGGTATTTCCATTTTCTTTCACAATACTTTTTTTTGTATTTAATGTATTCAGTGAGTAAAATAAAAATACTGCTGTTTGTCTAAGCCTTTTATGGTTATCAAATTCATACAGTAATTATAGTCCCTCTGTGGGAGGAACTGTCTCTCACGCCCTTTTTGGCTCTCACATAAATATTGACATTGTTGATCTCACTATAGTCCAGCAGAGGGAGCTCAATCCTCAAAATGATAATGCTAATAAATCCATTCATCACAATCCATGTTTTCCACAGACATATGAATCTATGGGGGCAGAGGCAGTCCTTTTAAGAAAACTAATAATAAAATTGTGAAAATAGCACATCATTAAGAACATTAGGCACTCTTTTCATTCTCCACTTACTTGTGAATTAGTATACGATATGAATTTTCTGGCCATTTTCAAACACAGCTTTCTGTATTTAGACAAGAAACATGTGCCCATATATTTCCCTCTTTACTGTTGGTGGGTATCAAATTGGTCAAAAATGGGGACACCTGGGACATGTCTTGTATGAAACGGGGACAAATCACTGGTTTTGTATAAATCTGCTGTGACAGAAGACACAGGGCTCAAAACTGAGACTGTAAATAGGGATGTCAGGTCACCCTAAATAAGGAACGTCATAGCATTATAAAAGCATAAATTATAACTTGATGTTCCTGTTTCATTGTTCAGCTTCCAACGATTGCTTCGTTACCTCCCATGTAATAGACGAACATACATGTGTACATGTGTGAATGGAAAATGTTCACAGCATTTTTATACGAGGAAATAACTGTAACAATAACTGGAATGCTCTGTGACAAGGGAGGGGCATAACAAGTATGACAAGTGAACGCAGCTCACCACACCTTTGTGGCTTAGAGTTTCAGTACCTGCCCTACTGCTCCACACACTGTCTACACGACAACACTCATGTCAGTTTCATGTCAGTAAATATTCTCTTGGCTATACAATGGATATAGAGGAGCAAAGGGAAAAAATAGATGAGGAAGAGGACGAGGATACAGAAGGACTGGCATGGCTTCTATGGAGCGAGAGCTCAGATGTGACGCCCATGGACACCAATATCAATCAGACCAGGTAAGAGCCCACAGTCAGTGGTCCAACCTGAACTGGGTGCCTCAGATCCAGTTGGACACTGGATGGCAGGAAACAAGAGTCTGGAGATAGCAAAAAACAGAACAGATACAGGATTAAAACTGAGTAGGTCTATCAAAGTTTCACTTGCAATATTCAGATAAAAAAAAGTTTGTGGAGGTGATAATGTTTAATAATCACCATGACAACAATGGTGATTATTAGCCAGGACAAAATGAGTCCTTGTAGGTGTAGCTGTGTAACTTTTCTGATGGAGAATCTACCCCATAGACCAGTTTCCCAAATGTTTTTTTTTTTTTTCTGGGGACCCATATTTTAAAAGTCACAAACCTTCACAACCCAAGTCAATAGACCTTATTTGTAAATCACAAAATAAAGGTGGATTTGACCATTATTGAACATTAATGAGAATATTTTACTGTTGACTGAATGATCGTGTCTCTCAATTAGTATTACTTAAGTTTTAAACAATGAAAAACAATCATTGAACCAGCAATAAAAGGTATCCATAAATCGCCTATGTAGACATTATATGTAGTCAATTTTTTTTTTTTTTTTTTTAGTGAGTAAAATGTGTCAGAATTGCAGACCTACATGCAGATCATGACTCGGCAACCCCCAAAAATTCTCTTGCAACCCACCTGAGGGTCACGACCCAGTCTTTGGGTAACAATGCCATAGATCCATGGTCTGCCCACACAGCGCCACCTGCTTGAAGTTAATATTGTTTTATGCAGAATGTTTTGTTTGTTGTCTGTTTCAGAAGTAAATACGACTAATGAAAAAGATAGATAGGCCTATTAGTTTAGTTTAGAAATAATTAAGAAATAAAGAAATAATATTTCTCAGGAGTCAAGCAGATGGGGGACTCTGTGCCAGAAAAGCTACAAAGAGCACCTTTAATTTAAACCATAGCATAACTTTAATTTTGTTAGGCTTCATATGTCAATGTGTATTATGTCAACATAGGCGTTGAAGGACTATTATTCATTACATAGCCTATTACAAGCATCATTGATTCATTTATTTGGAATGAGGTCATTAATCAAACATGTTAGCAGCAAAGAGCTACCTAATGAGTTACTTAAGTAATTTTCAAAGGCTTTAATACAAACTGCTCTTCATCATGGACACTCCTGCTCACACACGGCAACAGACTATAGAGGGACAGATAATACTCCCTACAACTGTACAACAACTCACCCTTATGTGACAGATGACCCTATGTCCTGTCAGTCAACATAATTTTTGCACCGTTTTTCCTCACAACTTCTTGTATACATCTGAGATATTTTTATTACTTATTTTCTACTTTATTTTGGCTTGTACATTTACATTTATATAGTTATGCCTTACTGACATCTGTCTCTTGCTGTCTTTTTTGCTACTTATTTATAATTTATAATTACCATTCATATTTTTAAATCTTTGTCATTATAATATATTGTTATGTGTGAGCTACTGTGTCCAAATAATTTCCCTTGTGGAACAATAAAGTTTGTCTAAGTCTAAGTTTAAGTTAATAGTAACAGGAATAACCAAGCATATAAAGAACTGTGTGGACATCTTGGATGATCTTCTTGGAACCAAGAAGTACTGTGAACTGTAGTACTGAGTTTAAAGTTGGCGGTGCAGTGTTTTAACTTAGATAAAATAAAGAATTAGCCCCTGATGATGTGATTAATATGATTTTGTTTTCAGTCCAGGACGTCAGGATGGTACGGATGCCAAATGCACTAAGGAGTTTTCCCAAGAGCGTGTGTTTGAAGCTGCCTCCTGTGGTGACGTCTCAAAGCTCCAAGGTCTATTGGAGTTTCTGACAGTCAACAACAAATGCCTCACCAGCCCTGAGTTCATAGGCTAGTACTGCATTTTCATCTGACACACCCTTTTGGAGACGTTTCTAAAAGTTCTTAATTTTTTTTAGATCAATCCAATGGGAAAACTGCACTGCTGAAGGCCTTGTTGAACCTAACTGAAGATAACAAAAATGACACTGTTGAAGTGCTCTTGGACATTGCAGAGAAAACTGGAGATTTACAAAACTTGATCAATGCATCCTACACAGACTGGTGTTACAAAGGTGGATAGCCAAAAATGCAAATGCTGATGATGTGGGCATTTACTCATATATATCATACATATATCCTTTTAAAACGTGTGAGACAGGGCAGACTGCGCTGCATGTGGCCATCGAGAGGAGGAGTCTGGACCATGTGAAGCTGTTGGTCCAGAAGGGAGCAGATGTGCAAGCCAAAGCCAATGGGAAGTTCTTTCAGCAGAATGAAGGATTTGGGTTTTATTTTGGTGAGTTCCTAAACCTGGTCAATCACTGATGCTCCGATCCTGAACTAAAACAACTTGAATCGTGTGTTCCAGGGGAGCTGCCTCTGTCGCTGGCGGCCTGCACCAACCAGCCTGAGATGGTGTCTTATCTCCTGGACAACCCTCACAGACGAGCTGAGGTGACGGACAGAGACTCCGAGGGCAACAGTGTTCTACACGCTCTGGTGGTGATCGCAGACAACAGCCCTGAGAACACACAAATGATCGCATACATGTATGACAAGATTCTGACCGAGCACCACACACTGCACAAGGACAGCCCCGTTCGCCTGGAGGACATCAAGAACAACCAGGGACTCACACCTCTCAAGTTAGCTGCCAAGCTGGGCCGCATAGGGGTATGTATGAGGGGCAGAGAGGGGCACTGTCTCTGACTCTGGTCTAATGTGTGCTCTGTGATTGGCAGCTGCTGAAGCACATGCTACATCGGGAGTTTATGGACAAAGAGTCCCGTCCTCTGTCCAGGAAGTTTACTGAATGGGTGTATGGGCCAGTACACTCGTCTCTGTATGACACCAGCTCCATTGACACAGATGAAGACAACTCAGTGCTGGAGATAGTTATATTTGGCAGCCAAATCCCGGTGAGACACAGTATTTTATTATTACATGTACACTTGTGTGAACAGTTGTGTGTGAACACTACTCTACTACAAAAGTAAATGTGTTTTGTTCTGGTCCTAGAACCGCACAGAGATGCTGCAGCTGGAGCCTCTGCGCAGTCTTCTGGAGGACAAGTGGGAGGGCTTTGCTTCCAAACTGTTTCTTTTTAACTTCCTGGTTTACATGGTTTACCTGAGCATCTTCACCGCTGTGGCCATCAACAGGAAGGAGGGAAAGGTAAGACATGAGAATGTTCTGACTTTTGGTGAAGAGGTTTGAGTTCAGATCATTGTGTGTGGGCCCACAGCCCCCGTTCCCCATTGAGGATGTTCCTGATGACTACCTGCGCAGCACTGGACAGGTCATCAGTGTGCTGGGAGGACTCTGGTTCTTTTACAGAGCAGTGAGTAAATCCAAAACCCCTATGTGTTATACAGGCTGTTGTACAATGACCACATGTAACATGTCTAACCTCTAACCACAGGTAGTGATTTTCAAGAGGAACCCTCCCAAGTTCAGCAGTCTCTACACAGATGGATTCAGTGACATTATCTTGTAGGTGCCATTGTAAGATTAATGTGGATCATTTAGTAGTGACTGATGGGCTGTGTGCTCCTCTCAGTTTCCTCCAGGGCACTCTGCTCGTGTTCTGTGTTCCTCTGTATGTGAGTGGACTCAGGGAGTATGTGGGGCTGCAGGTCATCTCTTTGGCTCTGTCCTGGGTCAACATTTTACACTATGCTAGAGGAATCAAACAACTGGGCATTTACAACGTGATGATGCAGAGGGTGAGAAACATCAAGGCAAGCAGCAACGTTTGACATGAATCTGAAATCTTGTTTTCTCTTTGTAGATGATCCTCAGGGATATACTGCACTTCCTGTTTGTTTATGGTGTCTTCCTCTTTGGCTTCTCAGCTGGTTGGTATTCATGAATGAGTTCTAAATATAAAATGCACTAGAATGTTAAATAGGCTAGGTAATAGGTGGTCATTACTAATTGTTGCTTTGTCCAAATATATTTAATTTCTCCTCCTTCTCTTTTCTCTCTAGCTATTATGTCACTTATAAAAGATGTCCCACCAGAGCCATTTAATGAGACAGAACCTGTAGTGGTGCACCCTCTGGACCTCTGTGAAAAACCATCTTACAATGACGTGCGCTTCACAATTCTGGAGCTGTTTAAGTTCACTATTGGAATGGGAGACCTGCAGTTCACTGACCATGTCCAGTACAAAGAGGTCTTCTACATCCTGCTCATCCTCTACATCGTGCTCACCTACATCCTGCTGCTGAACATGCTCATAGCCATAATGGGCAACACTGTGGAGAGGATCTCTAGCGAGAGCGAGAACATCTGGAACCTGCAGGTCAGACCATGCTGTCATTTTTAACATAACAGCTCACAAGTGGGCGATTTACACATCAGCTTATACTCAAATACACAGAAACAGGCTGGAGGTTATGTTTCTATAAATGTCTGTATTAGACCTCATACAGTAACACACTTTAAGCTGTTAAACCACCTAAATTGTAAAAACATTAGCATATACTGTATGCATGTACATTTTAATGCATTTGTTTTGTTTAATTTCAGAGGTCTCATACAATTTTGGACATGGAGAGAACTCTCCCAAGGTGTATATTAAATAAACTGCGCTCTAGGGTGTCAAAAACTGTCAATTTCAAACATCAACGGGACAAAAATCGAAGATTTTTAAGGTATTTCCTCCAGCACAGTGAAGATAACTCTCTCCTTTGCTCAATAAGTTTGTGTGGTCTGTGAATGTGCACATACTGTAGAGAGAATAGTTTCTAACTTCATTTTTACATTATAACCCTCAGTATTACTTTTTAATTGCATTTATTGAAAGCTCCATGGACATTGTTTTTACAAACCTAAACCCAGTTACTCAAATTGAGCTGCTCTGGTTTCAGAGTGGCAGAGACTCAATGGACCCAGTGGCGATCAAATATGTATTTTGATAGAGAGGAGGACCCAGGCAGTGACGTCCTGCAGTCCACAACTTCAAATAGTAGGTCACCTCCCACATACACCAAACTCCACATGCACCATGGCACATATATGCAGGCAAGACACACCCACTGCTACATGTCTGTACCCACTGCTTCACTTACACAACTTTCACTTCTGAAACACATGAACACATTTTATTACACAGTATATCATATTTTTCACTGCTGACATGAATTAAACTTGATTGCGTGAGCTTCAAACCAACTTAAACCAACAGCTCCCACTGTCAAGGTACACCACACATCACATATTATAACAAAATATATACTATTTTAAAATATTTACATATTTATAAATATTGTTATTGCTATACATGTAAAGGACTGTTGCCATGCCAAGTCCTTCAAATCGGGAAGGATCCCTGAATTCATGAACCCATGAATTTACACATATACAGTACCTACATGCATAAACAGCCATATACACCATATACATATGGGAACAGTTTCCTCATAAGTTCTTCGCAGGGATTTGCACCTTACAAACTGTAGCAGATACAAGGCCATATACTTCTGGAAGGCACACACATCACCTTATGCTTCCCTTTCATGTTCCAGGGAACAGATGGCGCCTTCATCCGTTCATGGACCGAATAAGAGCCAGACGCCAGCAGCCTCAAACAGTCCAATCCTAATGCTGCTCACATCACAGTATCATCACAGTACCATCAAGCTGTACACTGGTACATTCAAGATCCTCACATAGTGACTGTTGTTAATTAGGGCTGCAATGATTAATCGACTAATCTTGACTGGCTGACTATAATTTGTGGTTATACTTTTGGATAACGATAATTGTTATCTTGACTCTACAGTCTCTAAGACACATACAAAAATAATTTTTTTATAACAAAGACAGTAACATTGTTAAATCAAAATATCAAACAAGAATAAACTATTTCTGATTTTCATCAATGATACACTTAGTTAATATTCTCTATATTTGGAAGCCTTTAGTCACCATATTTCAACTTTATTTGGTTGAAAAAAATAATCATTTGATTAGTCAACTAATCAAAAAAATATATATTACTATCTAGTCAACTACTAAAAGGATGGTTAGTGGCAGCCTATTGTTCACTTAACATTTGCTGTCAAAGCAGATATCAGTGTCACATGACTGAAATGCTTTAAGAGCTCATAATAAAATAATACTTTCTTACCTTTATAATAACATTCACTTTTTGTCCGTCTCATTTCCACCTTCCTCTTTTCCTAACTTGGACTTTCTTTAACAGAATCAAATCAATTATCCATGTACTTTTTACCACAAGTATGATATTTTAACTGTAATTGAGACCAGTTCCATATTAAATATCAAGTATATTGGCTTTCTTTACATACATTCAATTAATTTAAAAAATAAGGATAAAGCCTGGCTTATACCCAAACAATTCTTTCCTCAAAGATCGTGCAAGTCCCTTCCATCCTAAGAGCTCTATCCATGCAAAAAATATAGTTTATCCTGTTTTTCATAGTTATTTTGCATGTGTAAGTTAGTTTGGTAAATATGCCAGTGAAGGAAAGCAGTATGTAAACAACAGGTGAGGGGAGGGGTGGAGCATCACCACGACAACCGGCCTTTGTAACACTACACCTGAGGAGGTGTTGCCTAAACACATGAAACATGCAACCCTGAAAAAGCATTTCTGTGAGAGATTATGGAGGGTCAGCAGTGCTTGGAGGTCACGGAGCAGGAGCACAGACACAGCCTGGACTGGCTGCTGGGTACCAACCCCCCCGACCCCCCTGTGCCTATGGACACCATCGTCTCTGTGAGCAGGTGAGTGATGACCTCATCTGGGACTCAGGCTGTTTGTGGAGCTCTGTGTTCTTTACACATTTGACCTACAAACTTTGATTATGGCAATAAAACAAAGTTAACAAATTATATGTATCTTAACAACTTACTGTAGCTGTCAACCCAACAATAGGGCTTGGTCTCGTAATTTTATCCACATAGTTTTTGTCCGCAGACACATGATATTTATGACAGTGCAGTCATCAGACTGTGTACTTGCAGTGGAGAGGCAGCCCTGTTCAGCAGAGAGCTGGTGTTTGGTGCAGCTAGTCGCGGGGATGCTTCTCAACTCCGAGGTCTATTGGACTTTCTCACAGCCACCAACAAGCGTCTGACAAGCCCGGAGTTTACAGGCCAGTACACAGTGTACACAATGTCCTATATGCTCTCTCCACCCTCACTCCATCACCTCTGATTACCAACAAGTGCTTTTATCACTCACTGCTTCATTCTACTCAAGTCCAAGGTTATTCTCAATATGGAAACCAGTGAAACATCTTTGGATTACATGAATTATTTGGCTATTTCATATTGATTTTTATGTCAGACATGTTCTGAAGGCAATAAGCTAAGTTGCACAATTGATTCACGTTACCACATGGCTGTATCCAGCCTGGCTAGCCATCTGAAGCTCTCCATCTACTCTATGCAGTCTGATATTTCTCTGATCTGACTGTTGATCTGAAGCCTATGTCCAAATAATTATACTGAGCTTTTTTGATCAAATAAAATCATGTCATGTATTTTTGTCCCTTCCAGAGTCCAATGGGAAAACAGCACTGCTGAAGGCCTTGTTGAACTTAAAGAATGATAAAAATGAAACAATTGAAGTGCTCCTGGACATAGCAGAGAAAACAGGAGATCTAAAAAAATTTATCAATGCATCCTACACTGATAATTACTATCACGGTAAGTGAAACATATAATTAAAATGATTATTTGTAATGTGTAAAATCCTGAGCACAAGCAAATTTGCTTTTTTATAGTAAGTAGAATCCTCGTGATATTTGTGAGTTCACCTCTCCAGATTGATAATGTGAACATACTACCGAGCTCTAGGTCCCTATGCTGCAGTGAAAAAGTCCTTTTGTATTTCATAACTTCAGTGTCCCTGACTTTCTGATGTGGCTTGTGAGACAGGGCAGACTGCTCTGCATGTGGCCATCGAAAGGAGGAGTCTAGATCACGTGAAGCTGTTGGTCCAAAGAGGAGCCGATGTACAAGCCAAAGCCAATGGGAAGTTCTTTCAGCAGAATGACGAATCTGGATTTTATTTTGGTGAGTTCCTAAATTTTACTGAAGCTCAGATCCTAAACTAAAACATTTCAAGACAATATGTTTATGAGAAGTAATTACCTTGTTCACATATTGGACTGGTAGCTGCGAGTCTTCTTCAGAACTGTCACCAGTTAGATCACATGACACATACACTATGAGCTGTTGTTACTTTGCAGCCAAAACAATTGAATTCCATCTCCTAACTTACTGTCTTTAAAAATAACCAAAGTGAGTGTGAATACAAGACAAAAGTATGTGAATTAGTGAATTAGTATGAACTAAAACAACTTGAAACATGTGTTCCAGGGGAGCTGCCTCTGTCGCTGGCAGCCTGCACCAACCAGCCTGAGATGGTGTCTTATCTCCTGGACAACCCTCACAGACGAGCCGAGGTGATGGACAAAGACTCTGAGGGCAACAGTGTTCTACACGCCCTGGTGGTGATCGCAGACAACAGCCCTGAGAACACACAAATGATCGCATACATGTATGACAAGATTCTGACCGAGCACCACACACTGCACAAGGACAGCCCCGTTTGCCTGGAGGACATCAAGAACAACCAGGGACTCACACCTCTCAAGTTAGCTGCCAAGCTGGGCCGCATAGGGGTATGTATGAGGGGCAGAGAGGGGCACTGTCTCTGACTCTGGTCTAATGTGTGCTCTGTGATTGGCAGCTGCTGAAGCACATGCTACATCGGGAGTTTATGGACAAAGAGTCCCGTCCTCTGTCCAGGAAGTTTACTGAATGGGTGTATGGGCCAGTACACTCGTCTCTGTATGACACCAGCTCCATTGACACAGATGAAGACAACTCGGTGCTGGAGATAGTTGTATTTGGCAGCCAAATCCCGGTGAGACACAGTATTTTATTATTACATGTACACTTGTGTGAACAGTTGTGTGTGAACACTACTCTACTACAAAAGTAAATGTGTTTTGTTCTGGTCCTAGAACCGCACAGAGATGCTGCAGCTGGAGCCTCTGCGCAGTCTTCTGGAGGACAAGTGGGAGGGCTTTGCTTCCAAACTGTTTCTTTTTAACTTCCTGGTTTACATGGTTTACCTGAGCATCTTCACCGCTGTGGCCATCAACAGGAAGGAGGGAAAGGTAAGACATGAGAATGTTCTGACTTTTGGTGAAGAGGTTTGAGTTCAGATCATTGTGTGTGGGCCCACAGCCCCCGTTCCCCATTGAGGATGTTCCTGATGACTACCTGCGCAGCACTGGACAGGTCATCAGTGTGCTGGGAGGACTCTGGTTCTTTTATAAAGCAGTGAGTAAAATGTGTTAAACACACACAAAAAATACCATATTTGTCTGTAGTAATTTTAGGGGTTGTATTTGTATTTTGTATTTAGGGGTTGTTGTATTTGTGCTGTGGGTTTTCTAAGCATATTTTTGTGATCCCACAGGTAGTGATCTTCAGGAAAAACCCACCGAAGTTCAGCAGTCTCTACACAGATGGCTTCTGTGACATTCTCTTGTAAGTGCTGTTGTCATGTTGTCCCCTGTTTAGTGACTAATGGTGTTATGGGCTGTGCTCCTCTCAGTTTCCTCCAGGGCACTCTGCTCCTGCTCTGTGTTCCTCTGTATGTGAGTGGACTCAGGGAGTATGTGGGGCTGCAGGTCATCTCCCTGGCTTTGGCCTGGGTGAACACTCTGTATTATGCCAGAGGAATCAAACAACTGGGCATTTACAGTGTAATGATGCAAAGGGTGAGAAACATGTACACAAGAACAATATCATGTTTTTCTCTTGACATGAATCTGAATGCTCTTTGTCTTTGTAGATGATCCTCAGAGACCTCCTGCACTTCCTATGTGTTTACGCCGTCTTCCTCTTTGGCTTCTCAGCTGGTGAGATTATAGCATACCTCAGTCAATAAGTTATTTAAATGTCACTTCCTTGTACCCCACAGATGACATGAAAGATTTGTATTCATTGTAGTGTATATTGTAATTTTTGTTTCCAAGTTTTAACCAAATCTAAATGCCTTCTTCACAGCTATAGTTTCTCTAATTGAAGACGATTATCCTGATGAAGACACAAGCCGTTCCAAGACCCTCGGCAGAGGAGTCAGCCCAGAGATGATTCTTTGTGAAAAACCCTCATACAATGACTTCAGCTTCACCATTCTGGAGCTGTTTAAGTTCACTATTGGAATGGGAGACCTGGAGTTCACAGACCATGTCCAGTACAAAGAGGTCTTCTACATCCTGCTCATCCTCTACATCGTACTCACCTACATCCTGCTGCTGAACATGCTCATAGCCATAATGGGCAACACTGTGGAGAGGATCTCTAGTGAGAGTGAGAACATCTGGAACCTGCAGGTGCACCTTTCTCACATAGAGACAGTTCTTGTTATTAGTTATTGTCCAAAGATTTAAGCATCTGTTTGTCTTCATCTAAACATGCAGAGATCCCTCACCATTTTGGACTTGGAGAGTTCTCTGCCACAGTGGCTGAAGGAGAGACTTCACTCAGGACAGTCCAAAATCATCATCAAACACAACAAAAACAAGGAGAGGAGCCAAAGACTGTTACGGTACAACACTTTCACTTCTCTGAACTTTCACTGCACAAACTTCTGTCACAGTCTTTACTAAGAATCAACAAGCTCAACAATTTTTAACGTTGAACACCTAGATATTTATGTGAAACACACTGCACTGTGACTGTCTGTGGTCTATGCCCTGGCATACTTGCTAACTGCTCTCTTTTTCAGAGTGGAGGAGGTCAACTGGACAAAGTGGCGTTCAGATCTCTATGTGTTTCAGCAGGAGGAGCCTGGGAGCCACATGATCTCTGAGCCCCAGTCCAAAGGTTGCTCAGCCTGACCTGTTTTTTTGTTTATTAAACTAATGGTGCCCCTAATCACTGTACATGTTTTTCTCTCTCAGGAGGACCCCGGTGGAACTTTAATCCTTTCAAAGAACGATTTTTGCGCCGAAATAACCGTCCACAAGGCTACAATTTGCCAACCATTTAGCAACCACACTAACCAAAGTGAGTAGGATTATTGCCCTTATTATCCGTACTTACCTGTCCCAGCTCAGCCCAGATCGATACTGTATATATTCCATAGAGGACTTGTGTAGTGGAATTGCAATGTTGACCATAGGAGGTCCTGGTTGTTCTCTGCAGCAGAGCCAATAGTCCTGGATTCTCAAGATGATTTTCCAGTCCAAAAGCAGAATGAGCCTCACATATGTCTCTCATTTAAGTTCCTAGTTTCAATGCTGAAATTGGAATCACCTGAATCTCCACTACATGATCCAATCATTTATCAGTGCTATTGTTTGGGGGTTGAGAGCCTTCACATGAGACACGGCCCTTCCATATAATAATTTAAAAAAACAAACAAACAAAAAACTTTAATGTGTCTCCTATATGAAGGTTAATGCACTAGGAACTCTCTTTTTTGTAGTCTACTTCAAAAAGTAAGAATGCAGTAAAACTGTACAAGGTTCCTTTAAGGGGAGAGGCTCCCGTGTGTTAAAGTGAATATATATTCACAATGCATATTAAGTTCTAAAAAAATTGCTGTGACTTGTATGATGAAATATGTATAAAGATAATTTAACTATGGTGTAGTGCAAAGAAAGACTCCAACTCTTAAAAAGAATGAACTGTATTGTAGTAAGTTCAGTTTCATTTGTTTCAGATACATTAAACCCATGCCATGTTTTTGAAATGTTTTGAAACTTTTTTTTTTTTCCAATATATTTTATAACAAAAATTATCATATTTTTTCATGTTGATTGTATTTTACAGTCTTAAATAAATCTGTCCATCACACAAATTAGTATACTTGTAGTTCACACATACAAAACTCAATAATTGTTTTTCTAATATTCAGGTCAGGCATAGATTGATGTTCACAGTTAGGGACAGAGACACTGACAGAAATCGCACATAAACTCAACTTCTGGATTTCGCCCTGGCTGTCCGCGGTGCTTTTGTATATAGCTTACCACTTTGAGCTCAGGTACTGCAGCCAGAACAGTACAAGACCATGCTGAGGGCTACATACGGTTTGGACATGCAAAGGAACACAGGGGCACAGCTAACGAGACACATTTAAGAACAGTCAGTCACGGACATCCTAAGAAACCCACAATCTTTCCAGTGCTTACAGTATAGAGTATAGAGAGAAAGGGAGTGACCAAAATATGTTATAAGCAAGTATTTCAATAAATGCAGTTGTGCAGTTTAAATCTCACTCTCCAAGGGTGTGTCTACACTTTAGTCCTGGTTTGGATCCAGTTTACTCCTGGTGTAGACCTGATTTAGTTCTGATTTAGGTCTGTTCTAGTTCTGGGCTACTTCCAGGTTTTATCTTAATTTGAAATGTGTGCAGAGGTGGGTAGAGTATATAGTAGAGTGTAGTCAAAAAGTTTAAATGCTTAAGTAGAAGTAAAAAACAATTACTCATGTAAGAGTAAAAAGGTGTTTATAGAAATTACTACTTGAGTACGAAGTAAAAATGTATTTAAAATTTGATTTATCATTTATAAGTTAATGTAATTAGACAGACAAAACATGAAATAATGCAGATAAAAAACAAGAATTACAGAAAACAAATCATATCTGAATGGATGTAAGAAGTGCAAATCATTTAATGTTGTTCATATAACTCTTTTGTTACAACAGAATTACTGTGTGTGTGCAAGTGTAAACACACCCATATAGAGGCATTAATAAAGGCATTATAATATCAAACCTCCAAGTAAACAGACTGACTGTAAACATGCTTCTGACTCTAACCTGGAGAAGAACCAACACTGAAGCTTAACAGCGACTTCAGTGTTAAACAATGTTCAGTATTGTAATATTGCACAATTGACCCATAGTAGTGATTGAAAATCTAAATAATATGGCCGTATATACTTTACTACAGTGCTTCAAAGCTGTGGCAGGCTCATTTTACAAAAATAAAATACAAAAGGAAAGTTGGTATCAAAATCAGGTACATTTGTCCAAGATATCATTTTCCAAAATCTTACAAAATGTTAAAGGGTTTCCTAATTGAATTGTACATTTAGCATGAGTGATCCATTCTGAAGCCCTTACACAGATTTAAGAGCCAATAAGTCCATCTATTTGAGGCAGTCAGTTATGTGCCTGAGAGAGCTTCTTTGTGATTGGCTCTCCTGTTTTCATCTTTGGAAAAACTACACTACAGTAAGCACTGAATCAGAACAGACATATTTGAACTGAGCTTCACAGAACAGTAGTTTGCCTTCAGATGGAGAGAGTGAGCAGTACACACACGTGTGTACATGTACCTGTTGCAGTGGACACTTATACCACACTCTTGTTGCAGTAAAAATGGAATACTATTTCTGAAACATGTTCGTTTCAATCACTTGTAATGGCCTTCAGTGATCAAACATGCGCACACGGGTTACATGGAGTACAGACTCTTCTCCATAGTCTTCATTTGTCATCATAGATGTTGACGTACACATGCAGGCTAAATGCTGGGTACTTTTGTTCCATTACTTTTGATCGAAGACACAGTCCCATGATCTTGTTTCCAGTTGGAAAAACACTAAACACTAAGACTCCACATGGCCCAGGACCAAAATACCTGATCCTGAGACTGCAGCAGTGCTAAGCACTACTCCATCTCACACCAGTCTTATCAGTGAGAACAGTGCTCGGATGAACATAATACCTGTTTTATGTGATCAGAGGAGTACAACCATGGAGTGTGTTCTTGGCAAGTCTGTAGCAGCTTCGAATGAGTGCAGAGAAGTGTAAAAAGACTATCTGCAAGAATAAGATAAAGCTGTGAGAGAGGGGACCTACTCTGTGTCAAGTCTGACTTCTGCTATTGTGACTAGGCTGAGCTCAGAACACAGACAAATGGCTGCACTAGTCACGCACATGTTTGATGAATGAAGGCCATTGTGAGTACAAGAATAAACAATTGTTTCTGTGATGTGAACTAAAGTACGTGTGGCAGCAGTATTTAGTCAAATAAGAGCGGTGCAAAACATTCCTCCTGATAAGGGTGTAGACGCCTAGGTTTTACTAACACTGTCACTTCTGTAAAGAGGATCATGTCCTTTGGTCCTTCTGAGCTCCCACTATACACTTCACATTAAGGACACACAGTAGCAGCCATGATATAGTGAGAGAAACAGCTACATACATGCAAGGGATCATTGACATACAGCTAACTGAGTGACATCATCACTGGGACCCTGGAGACCAGGCATATGGCTCATAAACACGTTGGTCCTTCCTCTTGTGGTTCACTCACACTCTCTCTTAAGAATGCTCCTAGACTCAGACGACTGACTGCTCTCCTCCTGCAGTCATGGGAAAGACTGTCATAGGCCCTGTTTGCCATCATCAATATTTCAGCGTTCTATTGAATGGGGGAGTAAAACACTAATTATATCAGAAGGGGAGTGGCAGTGTTTTCTCAAAATATTAGTTTTCAATATAATTTCCTTTTTGTGTTATTTATTTACATTGCTTATACTTAGGGGCCCCTTTGTCCCACTCTGGACCTGGTTTCTTCTCCATGCTTAACTTGAGAAAGACCAGACCATATGTGATTTGCATGAGCAGGACTACAGAAGAGAGCAGTTGAAACTGGTCTGGCTAACAAAGTCCATAAAGCTGCAGTGACAGTTGCTACAATATTCAGACATGTCTTTTGTTTTCAATCTCACTGCCTGATGATGCAGCCTTGTGTTATTGGTCTTTAGTGAATGTAAACATTATCACTCATGTTGTCAGTTCTGCTCACCACACACAGCTGCTGCTATCAGTTTATGTAGGAGAACTTCATGCTTATTTACAGTCCATTTCAAAGCCACGCAGTGAAAAATTACTGCAGGTACTAAGCCATGTGTGCAGCCTGGTGGCATCCCCCCAGAGGTGTCTGTGCTTAAAAGCCATCGATGTGGCAGTAGGCCTCCAGGCTGGAGAACAGGATGTAGAGGAACCAAAGGCCCAGGAAAAGCAGAGTAGTGAGAAGGCGGGGCACTTTGGGCCCACCCAACTCCCCCCCGATAGAGGGCCGGCGGCGGAACAACAGCACAGCCATGCAGATAAACGCAAAGATGGTGAAGAGGGTGACCGAGAAGGCCAAAGAGCCTGGGTCCACATTGAAGGGCTTCCCTTTGATCTTCCAATATACAGCTGCCACAGACCAGGCCACTCCAATCCCCAGGAATACATTGACTGCATTGCTGCCGGTCACATTGCCCACAGAGGCATCAGCGTGCTGGTCTTGCATGGCTGCTACTTTACTGGCAAAAGTGTCTGTGGAGGAGACAGGGCTTTATTACAGCTGTACGTATCATGTATGCATCCTGTATGTGTCATGTGAAGTTCTCACCTGGAATAGATGTTCCCAGAGCCACAAAGACCACAGCTGTGACTGTGTCTCGCAGGCCCACAGTGCAGCCAAAGTGAGAGGCCAGGTCTCCAATGATGGCTGTGAGGAGCCCAATGACACTGATGGACACGCAGAAGCACGCCCAGCCATTCCAGTACTCTGTAGGAGGAACACAGGCAAACAGCACCTTCCAGAACACAGTGAGGAAGTGCATGACATAGTCATAACAGGAGGGGAGGCGCTCCTCTCGGCCTTCCTCGTCCTCATCCCCATCACCTGTGAACACACAGTGTAACTATAGTATTACAACTGTATAATACACACATTGTAGCCTGCACCATTACTGCACACGGAGCTGCTCTTACCTGCACTGACAGTCACAGCCTCCACAAATTGCTCTCTCCAAGAGTGTGTACCAATCACCAGAGCCAGGTTGGTCTTCTTTATCAGTTTGTCCACTGTGCTCTGGAGATTACAACATAACATCTTATTGCAAAATCTGCATCGATGGTGGTACAGTTGCAGAATGCACATTTGCATAAACATGGGCGCCTTCATTTTTATGTAAATGTGAGTGAGACTTCTCTAGTTCCACAGTAACCGGGGGTGACAGATGCTATAGAAAGAAACTGGAAGGACGGAGCACCTTAAACTCGTAGGACTCCTCGATGACCACCTCTAGGCGACTGTGTTCTCCCAGAATGGGCTTCCCCATCTCAGCAATCCTGCGAGCTTCCTCCTCCTCTGCACTCAACTGGCCTTCCTGCCCCTCTGGGAGGACACACACACATATCGGATTACACCCATGTCTACAATATTCATGTGTTTACTAAAAAATGTTTAGCAGCTATAACTTGTGTATTATATAATGTTAAGTTTGAAAAATGTCTTACCTTGGTTGAGGAGCAAGGCTGTAGGGAAAAAAATAATAATTAGATGTAGTCCTCACAAAGAAGCAAAGCATGTGATGAACATTAGAAGTACCTGAGATGCCTCTCTTCAGCCAGCGTGGCTCCTCTAGGACAATGTAGAAGCTCTCCTTCTTCTCATACTCCTCATCGTCAATGATCCGCACCTGAATCGTCTGACTGAACACATTCAAAACAACAAGACAATAAGCCAGAGGCAATAGCAGATTGAGACCAAATGAAAGCCTCTGTGTGAGCAGACTTACGTGGTCTGGTCATTGGTAAATTCCAGCTCGCCCCGGGCATCCTCGTAGTCCTCACCAGGTTTGGCAGTGCCCGCCTCGGTGTGGTACGGGAGGATGACTGTGCCTCGAGCCCCAGAGTTACGGTTCACAGTCACCTCCATAGTGCCCACGCTCTCACTCACACGGCATGTGCTGTCGCTGAAAGTGAAGATTCCAGCATGGTCGTCGTCCAGGATGGTCACTGTGGCAACCAGAGGCTCCACCAGGCGGGCTTTAGGTGCAGCACCAACCTCGTCACTCTCAAACATGCCCTCTGCGTCTCCCACACGCAGATTCAACAGACGCACAAAGAAGTGCTCATCCTCCTCAAAGATATCATCATCAATGATGCCAACCTACAGGGGGAACATAACATCAGACCTGCTCTAGTGCACTGTGCTAATTACAGCTATAGTCAGTTCTATTTCAGCTTCACTGACTAAACAACACCCTTCTAAAATAGAACAGAGAATGCTCAAGGGCCAGGTACTTGGAAACTCTCACTCACCTTGATCTCTTTATGTGTGTCTCCAGGTTTGAAAACCAGAGTTCCTTCACTATAATCATAATCTGAGCCTGCATTTGCAGAGCCATCCTCAGTCCTGTAGTCCACATAGAAGGTGTTCTCTCCTAGACCACCTACAAGACAGATCGAGTACACTTATATAGTCACATTTATCTGCTTATATTGTGTCCTTCATAATTCACTTCTTAAGGAATCGTCTAGAACATTTCCTCATCCACAACTTTATCCCTTCTATTTCTATTTGCTCTGTTGGACATGTGATGGGCAGGCTAGCAGCCTCAGCATACCGTGGCAGACAACAGTGAGGGTTAGCACTCCGCAGTTCTCCATACACTGGCTGTGGGGGCTTTCAAAGGAGATGTGGCTGCAGATTTCCAGGTCATCCTCCTCCTGGGTCTCTTCCTCTGTGACCACTGCACGACGGGCGTGGTCTGCAGCATGCTTCTTTAGCACGTTCCCCGCTCCAATCATCATCCGTGTGGCCTTAACATATCATCAGTGTAAGCTGTAAGATTTACTCTATATGGGAAAATTACCCAACCCCCAAATAAACTTGGCCAAAGTTCAACAGATGTATAAGTTGTATAAGCCCTCCATTTGAAATTAAATTAAATGACAATGACATTTTAAAGCATAACCTTAAATTTGTTTATTGTTATAATTACTTGCATTCCTGACATGTTTTCAGATACATATTCTATAAGATATACGTAAAATGTAACATGACAAACATGCACAACACAATTTAATTACAGTACACCTGACTTACTTTACTTGCTATTATTATCTGAGCCTGTTAAACAGTGGAACAATGCATTATTGCTTACTCCTCTACATTACCAACAAAGCAGTTCCAGTTAATGCATTTTGAGTCATCATCCATTATTCAGTCCTTTATAGTTTTACAAGCTTTGGACTCCTCTGGTCAGAAGTGTGCATGGACGTGTTGGAGAGTGGTCTCACCTGGATGCGGTAGAAGGCCCTGCTCTTCTGCTGGTGCAGCAGGGCGTAGTAGTTGGCCAGTTCCACCAGCTGGTCCAGCTCTTTGTCAGGATACTTCTGCTTCAGCTCCCTCAAGATGCGGATCACCTGGGCACAGGAGGGTCAGAGCAGGTGGGTTTACATTAGAACCACTAAAGATACATGAGTCAGTGAGCGTCAGTGAGCGTCAGTGAGCGTCAGTGAGCGTCAGTGAGCGTCAGTGAGCGTCAGTGAGCGTCAGTGAGCGTCAGTGAGCGTCAGTGAGCATCAGTGAGCGTGAAAGAGCCTCACCTCCTTGCGGCTCTCATCCAGCTCACGGCTGCTTTCCATGTTGACCATTGTGCTGTTGGAGGTGGGCAGATGGCACCCTCCGGTGGCAGAGGCTCCTGCTGTGCCTGTAGAGTTGTCCAGAGTTGTGTCATCCTGAGTGTTTCCCCTGTAGTTTTCACCTGGGACAACAGCGCCCCCTCGTGGTGGGAACTTGCCATCAACAACCATCTCCATCGTGGCTTTATTGGGAGTCAGATCCCCCTCTGTCTCGACCACAATGCCACGACGTTTGTCGGCACGGTAACGCTTGCCCATGTATTTGTAGAAAAGGAGGCGGCGGTCTGCAATCCAGGCCAGCAGCACACATACAGGGAAAAAGAGCAGTGTGACCAGGGCCTCCCAAACCTGGAACACAGCACATAGTGCATAGTCATGTGTGCAATCCATCATAACATCATCTAATCATCTGAACCCTACACCCACCTCCACCACGCCGGGTGAAATGACCGACAGGATGAGGTAGAGCCAGATGTAGGCAAAGATACTCCAGAAGGCCGTGATGAAGAACACACGCAGGTGTTTGATTTTGCGTGACTGTCCATTGGGAATGGTCCACACACAGATGCCGATGATGACAAACATGTTAAAGGCAGCGCTGCCAACGATAGTGCCTGGTCCCAGCTCTCCAGCCTCAAACTTGTGCCCACACACCTGCAGGGGGTGACATACATACAGGTGAGTGCCAAGGCAGGCTACAGGCAGACTCTCACTGGACCTACCTCTATGACAGACAGAAGGATCTCAGGAGCGCTGGAGCCCAGAGCCATCAGCGTAAGGTTGGATACTGTCTCGTTCCAGATTCGAACCGTTGCTATAGACGTCTCTCCATTAGGCAGTGTTATGGTCACTTCCTTCTCCTGAGAGACATATGGTTTACTTGTATATGTCCATATAAGGATGCCCTCCATAAAGTCAAGTTTCATTGTTTTTTCAGATAATACCTTTATCCTTAAACCACTCACACTTTGTATATGTGGATATGCCAAAACTCGACCATAGTCAGATCATTATCAGATCCTGCTGATTTGGATGTCTGATTAAAGTGTGTTATTTTCTGTTTTGAAGCTTTTTGCTGCAGTTCTTGCTTAAAACAAAATATTTTAAAAATCCTTCAAGTCAACACACTCTAATATTACTATTTACTGGTGTTCCCTAGTAAAGCTCTTAGTGGTTTAACCAATTGTAATTTCTAAGCAGATTTAATAGTCTCTTACAGAAAGGCTATGGTACTAATCATTTGAGGAAATCAAATTGTGGCCTAGATTCTAAAGAAAGCTAGCTCCCTGACTTCATATTAACATACACAGATCCTAACCACTGACTCATGAGTGCGAGTGTCAGCAGGAGACCATGTGATGCAGTGTAACATGAGACCGCCCAGATTTGTATGACTTCAGACTGAGCTGCTCACAGACCTGTGATGTGATGACCTCGATGGACGCCATGAAGCGGTCTGCGATGATGGACACTCCCATGAACATGTACATGAGCGACACAAAGTAGACCACGGCGCGGGCCACCTGCTGGCCCAGCCCAGGGTTGTCAGGCTCCCACACAGGAAGGAGGATGCCGGGTTTGCACACGGTCTCCTCGTCACACTTGTCCTTCCAGGGCAGGCTGCTGTTACTTGAGGGGATGGCGGTGTAGGGGGGCAGGGTGGAGGGCAGGGCACTGCCCACCACTGGGTCATTGCGCTGGGACTCGGCCTGACAGGCTGGAACCAGCAGCACCAGGGCCAGGGCCAGGAGACTGGGCACAGGCATGCTGAAGCTTCTGTGACACAGGACTGGAGCTGACCTCATGGGGCTGCACTGTTAGCTCACCTGCAAAATGGAAGAAATTTGTTAAGTTATTTTTGTAGCAATTTTCTACTGATGGCTGGGCTACAACACTTTAATTTATGTGAACAATCACATATATTTTTGAAGCATAATGAGTAATTTTACAAACAAATATAAGTTTCCAAAAATAAAAGATGTTTTTTACCCAACTTTTTTCATTCAATTTGATGAAATAAAGCTGGTCACAAATATGAAAGCAAATTAGAGTTTCACTGTTGTTTGGTGATGGAGGTGTATGAATTGTGAATAACTGTTGTGAAATTGTAATGGTTCTCACTATAATCATATTAAAATATGATATTGTCATATCCCAGGTTCAATAATAGTTTTTGGTCACTTTTTGTAACTCAAACCAATTACTGCTCTTTTCTTGTCTCCACCTGCACTCTTGGCATCCTGCTGCCCATAAGCCTCAGCACTTCCGCCACATCCACCCAGCCATCTGCTGTTTGTACACTTCATCACAGTGAACATGGCTACTCTATAGCACACGCACGCCTGCACATACACACGCCTGCACACCTCCTGGACATATTTAAATCTCATTACACTTATTCACTGAGCGGGTGTTCACAGTCACATCAGCAAACACACAGACACATCTTGTAGGCTTCTCGTGTGGTCACAATATTACAATTTCAAACTTGGTTTTGATACTAAGTTAAAGGTTTGATATTTAATACTGAATTTGATATCACAATGATAATGACAAATACAACATGTTTCAGATAATAGAATGTAATTCAAAACAAAACAAACAAACAAACAAAAACAGTTTCTGTAGAGCTGTGTGTAGTCTGCCCTCTTAAAAAGGTATTACAATCAATTAAGGCTTACCAGTGCCTTAACCTGCAGATAAAGGACAAGGTTCTCTCATTATCAGAATATGGACATGCCATTCCCCCATAATTTACTCACAGAGCTGCAGAGGCTGCACTTGCACTGGCTAATGGTTCACTGCAGGCTGGGGTTTAGGTAGTGAGGATTCAGATCTGAGAGGCTGGATTTCAGCATTGAAACTGGCAACCCAAATGAGAGATTCATGTGATGTCCATTTGATTAGATATTCATCCAATTTTCATACCAATTTTCTCCAATGTTTTTTTTTTGTTTTCAATATATATTTGATTTGATCTATCTCGTACCTGCAAAGGGACAGAGTTGGGTCATGTTTAAATCAAAATCTTTCAGTATTGATTTCCTCATCAACATCATCAATACAAACCACATGATTGACATGTACATGACCTCTCCACTAAAAAGATCCAAACTGATAATTGACGATTAGATTCTCATAGCATTCTCAGTCTTGATAAAATTGTATTAACTGCCTAACCATAGTATTGATGCTTATTCAAATGAGTTTTATGTATATATATATATATATATATATATATATATATATATATATATATATATATATATATATATATATTATATATATTTTTTTTTTTTTTTTTTTTTTTCTTTTTTTGTAGCATTTAGGTATTGACATGTTTGACAACTCTACAACCTTGTAATCAAGCTAATATCCGGTCTAAATCATATCTACAACTCAGACATGCATCAAACAAGCCTAGTTATTCCAACATTTGTGCAGTATTAGTACATATCATAGTGGCGATGTAAAGCTCCTAAAGCGCCTGGCAAAGGTGTGTGCTGTTCTTCATGTCCCCCACTTGGCCCCTGGGAGCCTCTGCACAAAACAGCACTTTGGCAACAACAAGATGCTGCTAAGCAACTTTAGTTGCTGCGTTGGACACAGTTCCATGTGAGGGGGCTCAGCTGTGCAGCCAGGTGCTTGGTAGATGTACATCATGTGGAAGATGGATTCATGATGTCAAGAGAGTGGAGAGTTTACATATGTACAGTGTGGTTGTAACGGGTACATTTTGTCCAGGCTCAATATCTTAAAGTGCATATGACAGGTTTTCATGTTTTTCGAATTATTACTCTGTTTGGTGGTAGTACCTGTGATAAATATGTATCAGAGTTTTACATCATTTAATGGTCTTAAATTACACAAAAGTTACTCTTGTGAGCTTTTAGCCTTGTTATAATGTTGTTACCTCATCAAAAATATACCTGGCGTTGAGTTTTGTTATAACATAGATTAGAAAATAGTGTAATATGGGCCATTTATAATCATAATCCAAAGAGGTTAATTTGGTCTTTTGATCATTTATTTAACTGGATTCTTTTTTCAGACCAAGAATTTGCAACATCATGTGAGCACTCTGAGGAAGACTGCTAGTGAGCAGTCTAAACTGTCAGGTCTGAAAAAAACAACAACTTTATAATCATGTTAACTACGTTTTAATGGAAAGTGTGGTCTAACCTCATATACCAGTACACTTCAAGGGAAACCTTTAAGTTTGTATCACAGATTAGACTACTCATTTCACTAAAACATAATGATTATATTTTACTAAAAGAAAAAAAAAAAAACTTTTATTTTGTTCGATGATGATTAAAACATTTTGAAAAATATGTTTCTTGCACATGAATTATCCCTGAATTTTGGATGGAATTTAACAAAGATGATGACAAATACTGCATTTTTGTATTTTTATTTTTTTCTTCCTCAACTTTTCTTTCCACATCCTGCCACTTAACAGATGTAATATTACAATAAATATTTACCACAAACACTATCTCACCAAACCAAATAAACAGAAAAACATGAAAACCTGTCACATGCACTTAAAATTTTTTGTAATGTCTGTTTTTAAAAATGTGTTTCTATGGTTATTTTAAATAATTACTTTTCATGATAAACCACAATATTGATCCACAGCATCTTAAGAATAGAAACTGGTTCACTGACTTTCTGTTCAAAACTGCTGACCTGATTTTCCACTGTGGCTGTTACAAGCAATAGATTTTCATTTAAAAGTCTTTACATGATTAAATTGGATTCTGAACAAAACACAACTCCAGGTATGTTTTTGATGAGGAAACAACTTATAACATAGATCAGAAAATAGTGAAATATGGGCCCTTTAAAGCTCATAAAAAGTAAATTTTACAATAGTTGTTTCTTCTGTGAAAGAAGGGATTAAAATGTAATGGCCATAGAAATGGATATGTGTTTTATAATGAGCTGCTATGTCTGACTATAGACCCACTGCTATGTTTTATGTTATCGTTGTTAAGGTTTTATGCAGTGAGCCAAAGATGAATTTGTACCCCTACAGTCCAAGATTGTATTATATTCAAATTTAATGAAGCCAGTCAAGAATGAAAATTATATAAAGTGCTGCGTGGGTCCATAGAAATTTTCAAAAACAGGTGCTCAATTGGAGATAAGCTGGTTCTTTGGAGAGGAAAACTGCTTTGTCTTTTGGTGTGTCAAAATGTTGTGTTCAAGGCATTAATAATCCTTTGTTAGAGGATGGCTGTTGACATAAAATACATAACAACACGTTTCGGCACAGCATGGCCTCACTACACATTATACCCAACGATAAAGCCACTTCTCTTAATGAAGTCAGGATAAGGGTTCTCTTGGGGCTGCCAATACTTTACGTGAACGTGAGTCTGGTCACTGATGAACTACCCTGTTTTCAGACGGGTGTGATTGACAGGTGAGGGAGGTATAACTTATGTCCGTGAAATAAACAAGTCCGATACGCAAAGTACTGTCTGACTTGCGAGGTATAAGGGTAATGTCAAGTAGGGTTAGGCCAGGAGTGTCCAGCCTTTTTCCTCCAGTGAGCTACTTTTACAAAATGGTAATGTCAGAGAGCTACCTATTTTAGCAGTCACAAAAAAATTGAGAATATATAGGAGCCTCAGCAAGCCTTAGATGTGGAACAGTTAGATGACTATAAAACCATTATCCATTTATCAGAGCATAAAGTTAGGCATGAAAATTATACATTTATAGCGGTAATTCATCAAATTTCACTTATTCATAGAGTACAGAGAATTCAAAAATGTTTTGGTGAACTACTCTGAAGGGGCTGGAGAGCTACTGGTAGCTCCCGAGCTACAGTTTGGAGACCTCTGGGTTAAGCAGTATTTATATTATTTCAGTATACATGTATGTTTTTATATCACCATTGGCAATGACTGGATGATTTTGTTAACATTATAGCAAAAACTCTAAAATGCTGAAGCTAAAACACTAAGCACACACACGTTTCACCTTCACATGTAACTACCTATACAAACAGAACCAATACATACATAAACATTATTATACACCAAAATAAACCCCAAGTAACTAGTTGAATCGGCAGTTCACAACCCGTGGAGAGATAGAATTTTATTAAAAGCAGCAGTAGATCAACGTCAGACTCTGGATGTTACTTGTTAATTGTAGAGAAGAGTATATGAGAGAGGAGAGACAGGATCAAAGCAGTTCTCCTTGGCTAGCGCAGTATTGATTTGAGCGTCAAGCCCGGAGAGTGAAGGAGTAATTAAGCTCTCGGTGCACAGTGAGGGGCGCTCTTCTGCGAAATAAGCAGGATTTGAAGTGCAGATGTGGGGGGTGAGCAGAGAAGTGAGAATTACCTATAGGATGCTTTTCAGAATTTGATAAGGACCAGTAATAGGCCAGTGAGGTATTGTTATTGACAGGCAATGATTTTTTTTCTTTTGGTTTTCATTTTTAGATTATACTCAGATCATACTTTCACCTTTGGAAACAACAAAAA